AATACACACAGACACAGACACGGACACAGATATATATATATATATATATATATAATTGTTAGTGATGTATGTATTGATCAAAAACTATAACACAACCTACACGCTTTTCTTTCTCGGAAGGGTTTAGGGTTTTTAGGGTTTAGGGTTTTTGCAACCGCACAAAGGTCGAAAATGCTCTAGGTTGGTTGTAAAAGCCCATCCACAGGTTAATTGTATTATACCTTTAATAATGTGATATAACAACAACTATGAAGTAAGTAACGCACATCATGTTTTAACAGCTTGTACGCGCGGTAGTATTTATCGTAATTACTTATTTAGCTAGGTACCAGCATTATGGGTGTATTGACATCAACCAATAGATCGAGGCGCTTAAAGATTATTCGTGGCTCTCTCAGGCCCTATGGTGGTCAAGGGTTGAAATCATACCAATCAACGGTGGTTCTAAGGTTTAACGTAATAAAAGCTGACTATATATTCCAATAAAATTCGTATTTACTATTGACCTTGTGATCACCTTGACCTTATTAACTAATAGAATCTATTTTTAAGGTCAAGCTTGACATTGTTTTCTTATTAATTTTTGTATCACAGACCTTGACATGACCGAGGCCTTATTGACTAATGGTATCTATTTCTAAGGTCAAGCTTGACATTTTGTGATGTGTCTTTTCACTCTATTGGCAAGCTTGACATCCTTTGACGTGTCAGCTACTAATGGAATCTATTTCTAGTGCTCTTCTAGTGCTCCCTACATAAGTAAGATATCGTAGTTTGTACCGTTACCGGGTCAAGTCAAAATAATTACCCCCGGTACAAATTGTACTAAAATACCTATCCCGAAGAGTCTCCGGGTTAGCTTTTGGCACTGGTTAATGGTGATATACTATTTAAATAAAAATTAAAAAAATTTAAAAAACGAGTAACGAGTCACTACACTTTTTCTTTTTTTTCGTCTTCTTTTTTTAGGGGTTATTTATGAAAACCCCAAAAAGGGTGGGTCCGTGGCCCGTGCGTGGCGTAGATTACGTACTGAAAGTCTAAAATACGGACATCCTATTCGTAAAAATGCTGAACTGAATACGTAAAACAAAGGCACCTCCTGGAGCCCCGAGGGCTGTGGCTCCTAAGCGCAACTTTCATGGTTCATTGGCCCTTTAAAAAAAACATTTAACATTCTTAACGTTAAAAGTAATCGCTTTTGACTCTCGGCCTCTCACTACTCTCTCTATAAAGTAGAGTCGAGAGACAAGACTCGAGAGTCGAGAGTTTAGAGTCGAGACTCGAGAAACTGTTGTGGGACTGCGGGTCGCGGGAGAGAGAGAGAGTTGCTACTTGCGAAGTTGCGAGTCTTCTCTCTCTCGCTCTTCACTCTTGTGTGTGTGTGTGTGTGTGTATGTGTGTCGTGTCAGTGTGTGAGAGTCTGTGTGTGACTTCCTGTAAAGTTGTGAGTGAGCGAGTGAGTCTCGAGCGAGAGAGATAGAAGGCTATAGACCTATCTATAACTGATCTGGTTTGGGTTAAAAAAAAAAGGTAGTAGTTTTCGATGTATTATACATGTCAAACACTTTGGATACTAAATAGTAATAAAAAAACATGTTTAAAAGAGATACATAATATGTTTTATACTATGTATATTGCTCTGTATGGGTTTTACTATACGTTTTAAACACTCACTGTGTCAGTTATGTTGGTGTCATGTTTAGAATTTGTGACAACCACAAAAGTTTCAAAACTGAAACTCGAGACAAACTGAAACTTGAAACTGCTGATCAACACTGAACACTACTGACAGTCTAACCATAAGGTTAAGTTATATTGATATATAAGTTAAACGTTTTACTTTTACTTTTGCGTTTGCAAACGTTGCAACGTTTTACTGTTTCAATTTGGACCTCAATTATTTCGTTTTGCTGCTCACGATAGTGCAATTATTCTCACTTTGGCCACGAAATGCAAAACCGACCCATGAAAAACGACTGGGAAGTGATGACCGGTGAATATTTTTTTCTGGCAATATATTATATGGTACTTGTGAATTTGTGAAGTTGTCACACTTACTCACTAAATACTCACTAGACACTAAGTCACTAATAACACACATAAAAGTCAAACCAATCGTGCTGGTAGACTGAGTTAGTGTGTAGCCTGTTGCCTATAGGCTGTAAATTATTGATACCTCTTATCAATTATATATACCTTACTGCTAAAATATAAACAACGTCGATATCAACGTCCAGACAATCGATATCATCATGAACTCAATTGAAAACTTTACTAAAGTTTTAATTGAATTATGATATATACAGATAAACAACCTGTACGTATTCAGCACTCATTGACTATAGTTTACTATCTATGACTCGGAGTGTACATATATATCATTTTCTTCAGCTTCGTCCTCCACCTGCACAATTTCAACAGTTCGCGTTACAGCTTGCGTTGTTGCTGTCATTCGTGGCACGACAAACTTTACAAGCTGATTAGCACCGACTCTAATGATAATCTGAATATCAGGATCACAACGATCACCACTGCCTTTTAAACTCATCGGTGAACATCATACTTGGTACTTCTGCACCCGGACCCAAGTGATATAGTTTATCATGTAGTATTTCTTCTTGTGCATCAGAATTAAACCTTTGTACTTTTGGATAAAAGATTTCTTACTAGTGTTGTTACTACAAACCACATTAGTTTCCTAACCCTCGATAAACGTCTGCACTGTTTGAAAACCTTAAATAAGGGCCATTGAAATGACAGGTTCCGTATCGTCCGCATCAGCACTAGCTTCTTGTACCACATAGTTGTGATTGTAGAATCGCGCAAAGTCATTATAGTCTTTGTCGGTGACTTTGAACTTATCAGGATTGATAATGATCCCATCTCCTACGGTATGTATAGTTTAAAAAGCAAGTTAATTCTGTATTGAGAGTCTGAGAGTCGAAGATCAAAATTATTTATATATAAAAATGCTCAAATAAACATTGTCCCAACACTACAAATCAATACCTGTTATTACCCATTCCTCTGAATCAGCCAAGTTTGTGTTATGTCTGAGCTCGGTTGTAAAACAAACCTTGGTTCTGACAGGCCCTATATACCCACTCCTTTCCATCATGTCATACTGTTCCTTGCTGATGTCTCCTAGCCGAACCTTGCGCTTTGTACATACATCTTTATAGGATTCCCACTGGCGTTCCTGTACCGTCATGTTCGCGGTAGTAAAGCATTTCATGGCAAATGGAGCAATGATGGGACATCCATGTATACCTACAATTGTTGACCTCCATTCGCCTGGACCGTACTCTGGGTTGGCATAAGAGTGCATACGCTCGGCGAAGTAGCCCTGTTGAAGATAAAATTTGACGCTGATCCGCTAAATCAGCGAGAACAGGATCTGTGTCACTATCAGCGTGTTTCATCAATTAACTTACCACTAAAATAAATAGTAATTTAGTAACTGAATTTTTATAAGTATCAAACACACATTTTGGCATGTGTGAGAGATTTATTATCAGTTTAGGTACTAGTTTTGACTAGAATAGCTGGAAATCCTTATCTTTGACATCTATGTATGTGTGTATATGTAGGTTATAAAACAAGATGGGAGTTCTAGGATTGTCCCCACTAGTGTCGCTTCTGTTAGTTAAGACCCCGTTGACGAGTATTGTAGGTGTTATAGATATCGATGCAAGCATGATCGCTCACCAAATAATGAGGACACACGCAGTTGATATCGTTTTAGATAAAAAAATTCAACATTTCCTGCTTGATGTCTGGTCATCATTGCAACGTCTTCAGTCGTATGGTCGTGGCATCGTAAAACTCTTCATGGTATTTGACGGCTACAGAGTTAAGGAAAAATTGGCAAACGAGAAGCGTGAAGAGAGTCGGAAAAAAAATCAATGCAACCAATAGAATAATATATAAAGGAATGCAATGCACATTTGCATATATTTTTGTTGTTAACTTTTGATCATATTTAAGTATATTTATTTAAAGTTGTGTTTGCATCCATGATTTATATACAACTCACTAAAAGATAGAATCAACCAATAGAAGAATATAAAGGTATATATGCATGCATGCATGCATGCATGTACATATGGGAGATCAGGCGTAGTGAATGTGTTCTACCGACGGAACGCACAGATATCCAACATCAGGGATATTTTTTTAGCCTCAGAGGATGTGCCGGATGAAAGCAAGTTGAAGCCTGAAGTATTGGCTTTTCTACTGGCCGTTATCAAACATGGATTCGATGGTTTCTTGTTGCTTGTAGGACAGTTACTGCACACTGATTACCGAAGTCGTACAGGTATGACGACAGCATCTTTTGTTAAGTGGCTCACGCAGTATATTAGTCATTTCAATGACAAGCCTTCAATTCAAAATGCTTTTGAGAATAAGGGATTTGACATGGATAATCATGCTGTATCTCAAATAGAGTGTATCAATACAAAGGGTATATTTTTCACACAGCCTGTATTTGCACGGAAGGAGTATCCAATTTCTGTTGAAGATGAAAGCTATGTACCATACGATGTGTTTGGGGAGGGCAAATCAATCAGCCGCTACGAACTAACTTGCCTTCATGATGTACTTACTAAGGCACGTAGAGAATTGTTAGGCCTACCAGCAATGTATTTGGAGGAGAAGACGGAGTCTCTTTACATCTATATGCCAATAGATATGCAGTATAGCTACAGAATGGGTTATTATTATATCAAGTACCCTCCTTGGACACTCGAATACGATTATAATGTAGATTATCAGCACTGGAGACCACGCTGGAGTAAGCTACTTCCATTAGATCCTATCCCTTGGAGTGCCACTTGTGTAGAGTCAGAAATTTGTGCGTTTGCCCTCATGAAAATACCAGCTCTGCGCACATATGCAGTCCAACGCAGTATTGTGATACCAGCTCGTTATAGTAAAAGAAAACTTATTGTTGAGATTTTAGCACAGAACAAATGCGGTGCTGAAGAGGCTGCTCGTACCTGAATGTGCTAAGGCTTTGTTGGCCGCTAGAAGAGATACTGAGGCGGATCTGAAAAACACGTGTAAGAAGATGAACTTTTCTACTTGTTGTATCCAACGCAGTTGTTAAGACGTACTTTGAAAAGTCAGCGTACAAACTACGACAAGCAATTGAACAGCAGAAACGAAATGTGGTAGGATTGCAATATACAAGTGTACCGTTGCGTGATGATAAAGATACGAACGCTAATTATGTGGTTTCAGTCGAAGAATGCGCTTGCATGCTTCCATTGAAGGATTCCAAAAAAAAAAAGTGCCGACAGACGAAAGCGAGGGCGAGACCAAGATACTCAAGGTATGCTTTTGCCTTAATCATACCAATTGCGTTCACATTCGTGCCACACTCGAACGTGTGTGACCGAAGACTCGAAAATATAATTCAAATCAGCATTATAATGCTTGCCCAACAATGTACTGGTCAAAGCAAAGACTTCCGATGCGCCGTTACTCGCGCAAAGTTTAATTCAATATCAAAAAGACATATGAATGCATTGAAGTCTCCGATGAGTGATACGGAAAGGAAGTTGTATGAAGCATATATAGCGACAAAACTAAATACGTACCCTGCTGAGAAGAAATGTCCTTACTGGAGGCGCAACACTAAATAAATCCGGGTACTAGTAGCTTAATAAACGATTGAAAATAAAATACACAGACATGTTTTTCTGATCTTTGTTTGTATTGCTATTTGTTCATAACAAGTCCAAATCATCTTCACCCTCACTAAACACTAAATCAAAAAGTAATTCGTCCGCAACCAGGTCTGTGCTCGCCGCATTCTCATTACCTCCTTCGATGGATTCTTGGCCATCCACCAATCCGTGTTTGGTGGTTTGAGATTCACCAGACCCTGGCAACTTGGGCCTCATGGTCGGCTAAATCAATTTCCGAAAGTGATTTATTTAAACCACCGAATCCCCGATAACTCCTCAGTTCTTCCATCGTCCGCTCAATATTTGTTCTTTCTTTTGCGATATTTCTGTCGGTTTCTGCGCGTTCGGGTTCAAAAGCAAATTGGCCTTGTTGCCGCTTTTGTGGGGTCAACACTGCTATGCATAATTTCTCTAGTTCATAACGATCGGTTAGAACTTTATCATAAAGGTACACCATGATAGTCGAACCATCCCCAGCAATCATTCTTGGCCCGTAGTTCTCGTTGTTATGCATCCCGGTATCTGTGGCGGATCCCGGGTATGTTTTCATAATGTCGCACACATATGTACCACTATTACTAATAACATTGTGCTTATAAGTGGGATAGTTTTTATATTCACTATAAAATACGCTCTGAGCATCTATATCACAGCCTGGACGCTCAGCGCGTAATTCAATTGCTTCGCCTATGTTAATCCCTACACCTTCCTGAATGTAGAAATACGGCCTCCGGTCAGTCTAAAATATCAAGATCAAATAAGATAACACATTGGCTTTTATTTGTATTTAAAATAATTTAATACAAGTTTTCTTCTTCTTCAATATTCCCAAAGTGTTCTAAATTCACCTTGATGGCTCCAATAGCCTGAGTATTTGGTTTGACTCATTTACTTGGACCTATTTGAGACGATAGTAGATGTATGAAATTATAAACTAAATTTAATTATCTCTAAACTACTACTTACAGGTTTTGGTCATCCCGCCAATCTTCAAAATCCAAAAAGTCTTTTTCTTTTATTAACTTTTCTTCAGATGGAACTTTATTAATTTTAGCTAATGTATTAACTTGACTTACCTTCTTATGTCTATCTGCAAATTCTAGTGAAAATTATTCAACTAGAGGTACGTCCTGAGTGATCGAGGATATTTAGGCTCTTAACAAGAGGCAGTCCCGATCATTCTTGCACAAGCTACCACTGCTAAATCCTAACTGACTTAAATTGTATCTCAGTTTATATAACATAGTTTAAAACACAGAAATATCAATCGAAGGTTACATGAAGATGTAATGCAGTGCGAGTACGTTCCGGAGTGAACTGTACCGACTGCTCAGCAGTCGGAAATGGCTGTCTGTTTTGAAATATTAAACTCAACGCTATCGTGAATGTAATATAAATGCGTTTCACGGTATCATCCGTAATTCTGAAATACGCTCCTAATGAACTTAGATTATCTCGACTTTTTTTGAAAGCACATAAGCATATTAAAAATTTGTGCCACGTACTGAGTCTTGACGCACGGCCCTGCTGTGATATTTCTACGTCATCATCTTCACCTTCGCTGAAAACAACGCCCTCATCACTTCCTTCTTCACCTTGCTTCTCCGCGTTCAATTGTGCACGACAATTTAATCTCTCTTTGTGAGACCACTTTACAAGCTCATCTAAACGATGGTCATAATTCAACCAGTTGAATAAAAAATTTACGCACAGTAACGTTGGCTCCACTGTTTGTTCTAAACAGAAGCAGTGCTTCTTCAGCAAACTGATGAAGTATTCTCCCGGCTCAGGTATTGAAGTGGGTGTTGCGTCGTTGCTAGATGAGGGTACTGATATTGGTTGAACATGCGAATGTGTGCGCAAAATCGGAGTGAACACATCGTTGATTTGTTTTGATATTGGTGTTATTTTCAACATCGAAGACTAGTATATTGATCCACTTGATCGAATCGTCAACATAACATGGTAAGAATACACCATCTGTACTTGAAATATCCTTACCACATACTTCTTCACTATTTGTGCATACACATTTGGTGTATTGTATTCCCACTTCACCCCGAATTACAGGAACTCTATCCAATTGATAGTCCCACTTTCATCGAAGTTCTCTAAAAGGTAGTGCGGAGACTGGGTGCATGTTAGGATATACTTGTGCGCCATTGTGTGTAAGATGCAAGTCCGTGATGCTGAAATGTTTCGCGTTGAGAACTGCATTGTTTGGTTTTCCTATACCTCCTCTTGTGGCCAACGCAGCAACGATATCTGCTTCCGTCAGAGCAGGATTCAATCTGTACAACCACTTGCGAGCTCTCATGGTTTCCGATTCAACGTTGCCTCTTTTTGCTTGACCTTTCGGTAATGATATTTTACAGCTGACACCACTAAGACAATCGCGCACTCCACACAAACACTTCGACACCCCTTTACTTCGCTTCTTAGGTGGTTCAAACGCACCACGTCTGCTCGAAGAAGATACTATATTCAAAGCAGATATGATCGAAAATAATCACATGATGGTTACGATAAGGTGTATAAAATATATATTTTACAGTCAAAATGTACTAACATGAATTCAGTCATTAAATTACTATTTTTATTGAGCTTTAAGCTAATAGCTTTTCACTGTCATACATCCAACATAAATACATAGACGCGGTACATGCCTCAGAATCTGCATTCCGTAGAGATGTAGAAATACGGCCTCCGGTCAGTCTAAAATATCAAGATCAATTGAGATAATACATTGGTTTTTATTTGTATTTTAAATAATTTAATACAAGCTCTTTTTCCAATATTTCCAAAGTGTTCTAAATTCACTTTGATGGCTCCAATAGCCTGAGTATTTGGTATGACTCATCTACTTGGACCTATTTGAGACATTAGTAGATGTAGGATATTATAAACTAAATTTTATAATCTCCGAACTACTACTTATAGATTTTGGTCCTCCCGCCAATCTCCAAAATCCAATAAGTCTTTTTCTTTTCCTTTTTTTAACTTTTCTTCAGATGGAACTTTATTTATATCAGCTAATGTATTAACGTGA